AAAGTTCGCTGGACCATAATAGAAGACCCGGGATCTTTTATTGTAGGCGGGGGGGGGGGGGTAATTAGAATAAAAATCCAATCGTTCTAGTTAATTGAAATAAGTATAAAAGCTTCTATTATACCCACTAATTCACTTTCCAAAGCAACAAGGAAGTGGATATAGCTACTTTACTGGCTAGTTCAGTTATTATAAGAATATCGTATTTTCTTATATCAAAAGTATTATTTTCCAATTAAAACAAAAGACCGCACTGGAATGCATACTCATTGGTAACAGACAAAAACGAATCAATAAGTCTACAGCATTTTTGGCTGCACGATTAAACGGTCCAATGATCTTTCTTTTTGCTTCTTCCTAAATCACAATGTGTTTCAAAAATCGTTCATAAGTTACCACAGTATGAATATTACTCTGAGAATCATTGATATAAAAAGGTTTTAACAGTTGCGCAAACACTCATCTTTCAATTTTTTAAGAACCTATAAAATGTGTATCATACTATGCAAATTTCGCAATCCTTATAAAAGTATTAAACAAAGCGCAACCAAACAAAACCGTTTTTAGATACTGTTTCTATTAGCTTAATGAAATTCATGCCAGTATGCGTTAGAATTCTGTTGCAGCTCAATTGATAAATATCGCGACGAAATCTCTGAAGTATTGTTCTAATCAGCGTTTTAATAGATGACATTATTATAGTATTTTGTAAAACATCAAGTTCAAATAATAGTAAAGAGAAGCATAGAAGTAACATGCCTTATGACTATCTGGACTCAACAAATCTGATAGGGTAGCAAAGAAACCAATAGAAGAATCACTAGTTATAGATACTATAAGCTCCTCTTTATCATATCATGCCTTTTAGCAACAATTTTATAGCGAGATATCTACTTTTTCAGTGTTTTATCTAATGAGAAGAGTAAGATCAAAGGAAAAGAAGTGCTGGAAAAAAGTACTGACTAGTTTTGCTTGAACCGCTGGTAGGTAGTAGATGTAAGCATTCTGAAAACAATTGTCAAAGGTCATCATGGTAAATTTTGCTTTTGAGAATCAGAAATGATTGAAATACTTTCAAGTAGATAATCTGCAGCAAAAATAGCTAGAGCGTTCGCTTTACCAACATTTTCTAGCTGAACGTTCGCTTTATCTGCCATACAGATAAAGCGAACACCTAGTATATTTAAAAAAAAATCATTAAAAAATCGAAAATACATTCGATTGAGCTGAACCGCTGGAATTAGATAGAGTTCAAGGAGAGGAATCGAATCATGTCATTAAAAAAAAGAAATATTGAAATTTTCAAGCAGGAATGCTTAAATTCGCTAATTAATGACATTTTCGCTTGTTCTGCGCTGGAGTGTTCGCTTTACCAACAAATTTTTTGCTTAGCGTTCGCTTTGCCAACATAACGGATAAAGCGAACGTTTTAGATGTGTCATCGCATACCGCTAATTACTCAATCATTAGAGCACCTAGACTCTTTTTTTTCATATGAGTAGATAGAGAAATCATTTCTCTTCCCAACTACATCAAAAGAAAAATTTTACTCCTTAAAATAACAGAGATATACGAGAGAGAACAGAGGCACCCTTGAAAAGCGTTCGCTTTACCAACATTGACTCTATATTATAATCAATTGCACAATGCTATATAGAAATAAATATAATTGATATGTATATGATTAGTACGTCATCTCATGAAGAAAATGGAACTGGAAATGCCAATCACTGGTGAATGCACTATGGGTGGAGACACCTATTTTTAACTAGCGAAGGCCGCGAAAAAAATATTACAGAAATTATGAGAAAAATATACTCTTTCAAACTACATATTTAGTTTCGATAATAAGCCAGTTCCATTCGACAGACGACCAGTATGGGAGTTAAAACTAGTCGAGTTATAACTCGAGTTATAACCGATCAACTTTTCGGTCAAAAAGTTAATTGAGTTATAACTATCAACCGTGGTTATAACCTTCAACCGTAGTTATAACCTTCAACTCGAGTTATAACTATCAACTGTAGTTATAACCTTCAACCGACGTTATAACTATCAACCATGGTTATAACTATCAACCCGGGTTATAACTATAAACTTGAGTTATAACCTCAGTTATAACTGCAGTTATAACCTTCAACCCTAGTTATAACTATCAACTGTAATCATGACTTTCAATCTCATTAATTTTCTTAATTTCTTGAGAAGATTTAATTAAGTTGAAATGGCAATCACTTTGATTTATTGGCATGCTCGGTAGAATAGATGAAAACATACAAATTTGTTTTGTTCTTTAGGTCAGAAAAATAGTGTCACAGAAATCCTTATTGAATACTTTTAATGTATTCGTCTTCAAGTTACGTTTTCTTCTATTTTTATGTCAACTATGTGAATTAAACATTTATTCTTTGTGGAGTAACATTAAGGAGTTTTTCTATGTGGATAGATATCAACAAAACTTGGAATTAGAACCATTTTCATTGAAAATATAGTAGTCAAGCATATACAGCTTCGAAATACAACTATGTCTTTCAACCTCAATAATAAAATAAAACTACTAAGAAATTGGGATGTTACAATTTGCAACCGCAGCTATAACTATCAACTATAGTTATAGTCATCAATTTTATTAATTATAATCAGTTCCATCATGATCATTAATCAACATAACTAGTACCCCTGTTCATAACTTTAAACTAATTAGGACTATTAGTCGTATGGATGCCCATAAATGAGATACGCTCCCGCAGGCACGAACATGACATTATTCATTTCCTCTCTAAATAATGTAACAATCGTTTCTTCTTACCTTTGGGATAAAAAAGATATTGATTGTATCTTCTTTTTTCTTATTCTTTCCTTTCTTTTCTTTGTTCGGTGATATATATGGAAAAAGAAGGAAAAAGTAGAATACTACATATGTTGCTTAACTAGTAGTGAACGTATAAAAGTGAACAGAGAATCAGCTGATACAATGATTTCGGATTGAAATAAAACGTACGTAATTATACTGACAGAGATCGTTATGTTAGTTTCATCACAACATATATTGTAGATGATCGCGATTATAAAGAATTAAAATTAGAAATAGAGCTATTTCTTTTTTTTTAAATATTGTTCTCAACTGTTCACGACTTAAGATTATCATTAATCATATAACGAAAAATATTAATTTACGAGTGCGTTCTTACTCGACATATAAACAGAAGAAAACGTAACTTGCAGATGAATATATTAAAGTACTCCATAAGGATTTCTATATCACTGCTCTTCTGAAATAAAGAACAATGCAAATATGCGTATTTCCATCTATTCCATCGCGGATGCCAATAAATCAAAATGATTACCATTTCAACATAATTAAATCTTCTTACGAAATTAAGAAAGCTAATGAAATTGAAAGTTATAACTTCAGTTATAACACAGGTTAATAGCTATAACTACGGTTGAAAGTTATAACTGCAGTTGATAGTTATAACTCGGGTTGAAGGTTATAACTACGGTTGATAGTTATAACTATGGTTGATCGTTATAACCCGAGTTATAACCATTTTAACTTTTTTCCGTTTTTCTCAACTATCAACTTTTTCAAAAAATAGTTTTAACTCCCACACTGCAGACGACACTACCATACACGCTATATTTGATAGTAACACATGTTATGTTGCATAGAAACAATGGATACTACCATTAGACTGTGAAAAACTCGTGATAACTCTGTAATTATGTGTCAGTCAAGAAACGTAAAATTAGTAATGTTTTTATTTAGGATTTTTCTTTATTTTCTAAAAATTTTAGCTTTTAATTTCGAGTTCCATTTTAATGCATAAGTGCATCTTTCAATCGCCTGTAAAATGCATTTTTATCTCTATGTGATGACTGACTAGATTGATAATATATCAATTCTTGTCGATGTGTCTGAGTTCACATTCGAACAAATTTGACTATATACATGGTCACTTTGAAATTCAGACGGGAGAGAAAATATTGCACATTGTAAAACACGTCAGACAGCGCGAGAAAATTCGCCTATCTTTATAACGAATATATAAAGAGAGAAAGAAGGAGCGTTGTATTCGCAATATCATTTATTTAAGAAATACACACGACCCATTCAACGGCAAATATTCTTACACTTAGCGATGAAATATTACTTAATATTTTCAACAAACTCGATAATATGGATGTATTATATTCACTTATAGGAGTCAATCGAAAACTCGATCGAGTGGCTCGGGATACGAGTTTTACACAATCTCTTGATTTTGTAAAAATATTAGACAATGTTGACAATCTGAAAATTAATTTTATGCTTGATCGATTTTGTTTGGATATCATACCTCGTATTGAACACTATTAAATGTCTTACTATTGATTTGTTCTCAATTGATCGTGTTCTTCGTATTGGAAATTATTCTCAACTTCATAAACTTACTCTCAACAATGTTCAATACGACATAATATATAAAATGTTCAACAATAAATCAGCAATTATTTATACTTTGAAAAATCAAATTTCACATCTTGCTATTATGATTAATGAAGAACACGTATTTGATCAAAAGAAAGAATTATCTCGAATGGTTTTCACTGATGTTTTCCAAACATTTACGAATCTAGCACATCTTCAGTTTTATTTTCAAGATCATTATTCATATTTACCAATCTCAGCTGTAGATTTGCCATTATCAGCATGCTACTCATCTCATATTGTTTGTTTAAATATAAAAATATTTGATTTTGATGTTTGTTATTATCTACTTGATGGACGTCTTAGCCAAATTCATACACTCATTGTTAATGTTCAACGAATTCGACAAACGTCAATGGTCAACAAAGATAAGGTAAAAGACTTATAAAAATAATGAGTTTCTTTATGTATGAATAAGATCGAACGAGCAATGTTAGTATGAGACAAAATAGGTAACTGAGTAGTGAAAAGAAGTAAAAAACTATATTAACAGCGATAGTATATGGAGAATTTATTTAAAAATAAAGAAATATTATCGTCAATGATAATATTAGATATAAACTAAACACTTTACTAATGAACAGAACTGTTCGTGAGGGTGAATGAGTGCATGAATTTTTGGTAAGTGCACGGAAGGAACTTTTGGTCAAGCACACGTGATCTACTATCTGAAAACTTAGGAACTACGTATGATAAATCAATGAGATGATTCTGTCTGGAATATTCGCATCTTTGATATTTGTAGAAAAGTGTTGCCGATGTTTTTGTAGTTTTTCGACACAATAAGCAAAAAATGAAACTTTTAAATATACTTTCTATTTTCTGCTCTTCGAGAGAGTTCAAAAATACAATCTACTAATTCGAAAGATTCTCGTTTGTTCATAAAATAATCAACTAAATATCATATATTAATGCTTATCTTTTTTTCTCTTTAGAAAATTGTTTCAAATCTCAAATGTTTTTCATTAATTTCACTGAGACGAACAACTGTATATGATAATCTAATTGTACCGTTTATTAGCCAAATGTTTTATTTGGAAAAACTCGTATTATCACTTATTGTTTATAATCGAAGAACATTCGTCGATGGTAATTCATTAGTTAATGATATACTTAGTCCAATGTTATATCTACATACATTTATCTTTAATATCATTACTGATGGTGTTAGAGTACTTGAAGAACTTATTTCGCCACCTGATGTTCTAAGTCATGCTCTCGTCGAAAGAGGATATGATTTAGACTGTTATACTGACTACAATCCATTAAGTAGAGGTCAATATCATATTTACTCGCTTCCATTTGTTATGGATCGCATACATATACATTCAAATAAATTTCCTATCGGTTTGTTTTGTACTGTTCGTTATTTATACGTACACGATTTCATTCATCCATTTGAACACGAATTTTTTCTTCGAATCTCGCAATGTTTTCCATTATTAAAAGAATTCGTAGTATTTAATCCAAATCCACAAAAGAAGAAGATAACAGAAGAGTACCAAAATGAAAAGACGTTGGTGGTAGCCAAGTTTTCTTATCTAATCAGACTTAATCTTTGTGGATCATACATCGACTATACAAAACAATTTCTTTTCGATTGTAACACATGTCTACCTTCTCTTCGTACATTACATATTAATTATGAACATTTAGTTATGGTAACAGAGAATTTTGCAAATACTGCTGCTCGTACTAACTGCGCAAACTTAAAACGTCTTATTTTTGATTTACAACCAATGATATATCCAGAAAATTTTTTTCGTTATTTTCCTTTATTATGAACGACATTCCTTGAATATTTGCTTTTTACTTAATACAGAAATAATAAAATCATGGAAATGTATAGTTCGTATGGGAAATGCAGATTACATTGCTAGAACACTTATATTTGAGATTAAGAATAAGACAAATCGGTATGTCGATATTTTATTGATCAATTATGATATCTTGTAACAGTCGTCGTACTAATATTTTTCTGTTAAGCTATTTAAATTGTAATCAAGTCTGGAAATCTTGAAATCATTTATACAAGAATTTTGTATTAGATTTTTTTTGAGCAATAATCCTATCTGATAAAGGTATAGTTGGCTATTCGTAACTTTGAAAATATGGAGCAGAGAAGGATGAGAGAATTTAATTTCAGGTGTAAAGGATTTTGTTTTTAATTATTCGTTCTGTATTCATCTGACCATGAATTATGATGAATATCTTACATATACATATAGAAAATATTTCATCAGTTATTAAATTCAAAAACAAATAATAAAATAGTTATTCTTCATGAATTCTATATTTCTCAGTAAAAACTAATTAAAAATCTCTTAAGAAAAAGATGAGTGATATTTAACATAAATATTGATGGTTTTATTTTTGTAATTAACGTGTTAATATTGGTTGCTTGTTATTATCTTAACAGCAGTGCTATTCTTTGAATAGACTATGCATAAATATAGGTTAAAACAACATTTTATTCGATCATATCGTCAGTCAATCTTACTAGTCGTGCATCTTCTATACGTGTTGTCCGACGAAGTGATACGCGCATTCTTCTCTGTGTACGAAAAAATTTTCTCGTTCTTTTTTCTCTTTCCCTCTCTCTATCTTTCGTGCATTCTTTTCATACTACAGACATTATTTGAATTTACTGTATTGATTCATTCAATTCGTTATACAATTTTAAAAGTTTGTTGATCGTGTATTAATGTCGTTTGATACAGATGATAGTTGGTCTGTCGAATCAACAATTGTCCTGAACGTTCACCTATTTACACCATACGATATTATAAAAATTGTATTTTATATACGTTTGAATAATATAGAAAACATATTTTTTTTGTTTAGTATCTTCAGTATTTGGATGAAAAATGAATGCTCACTGAAAGACAAAGAGCTGGTATCATAACAGATGAAGAAGAACATCGTCTCGGATATGTGACCGATATACAAGGTTTTCTTCTGAAGAACATGAGTAAATATATAGAAATTTATTTTCTAACAAACTAATGAGTTTTGTATAGTTCGTGCAGTCCTCGATTTGGTATATGAACGTCAACAATGTATTGATAATGCATAATGATAACTATCATTGAATAAAGATAGCAATCTTTATATTGGTTTAAAAATTAATTTGTTTTAAATATAAAGATCTGTTCTTTCAAATACAAGAATAAAAAAACCTTATCACATTTAGATCATAATGATAAGATAAAACATAAAAATCCAAGGGGGAAACGGCGGACTTTTGGATTTGAAGTTACTTTGTGCTACTTTAAGCTACTTCAAGTTACTTTCATCTACTTGAAGTAGTTTACTTTGAAGTACTTTTCAACTTCAAATTTATCTGAAGTTACTTCAAGTTACTTTAAGCTACATGTTCCTACGTTGGGCTACTTGGGTGGTACTTTGAGCTACTTCAAGTAGTCTACTTTGAAGTACTTTGACGTACTTTTGTACTTCAAGTCCGCCGTTTCCCCCTTGTAAAAATCACTCTTTAAAATTTTTTCTTTAATCGATAGATAAAATAGAATATAATAATAACTAGATGGTACTCGAGTTTCCCTCGACTACGAACCCAAGTGAGCATAAGACGAGCTAAATGACTCGTCTTTTTTCTAGTCATGTCGACCCCTCATGTCTAGTCTTTTTTTAAAGAAAGACTCGTCCAGGACTGGCCAAAAGTTCGTTAATACAGAATGTTGTTGTATAATACGCAAATTAGTCTGAGACGAGGACTTTTTGAGACAAAGACTCGTCCAGGATGGGTGACAGGGACGCCCGTCCGAAACGGGTTTAAAATTGAAAAAGTAAGGACGTCTGGGACGGTATATAGGACAATTTGTAGCCTTGGGGAGTGGACGAGTCTTGACTAGTCTAAATGGAAATATATAAAGATGAAGGTTAGATTCGAACATGCATACTATGCATCACTTACCCATCGTTTAGACCATTGAATCATATGATCAAGAGATCAATTTCTACACGTTCATAGTCATTTTAAAATGCTATTTAATACAATTTCACTCAAAGTTTTTTGTGTTCACTTTTAAATGAAAAATTATTTTTTACAGTAGACGAAATTATTTAGATAACATTAAATAAAATAGATTTAGAAATTGTTTATATTTTTTCGATGAATATCTATTGAATATTATTAACCGAGAATAATTAGTTGCATTAAAAAATAAATTCTAAATCCAAAAATAAAAGATTATTTATGTTTAAAAGAAACCATTTCCATATGATGATTTAGTTTTAAATTAAAATCGCCTTATCTTCATAATTAACAATTAAATTAAATTTGCTTAATTTGAATTTACTCTTAAATTTAAAATTATTAGACTTTATATTTTAAAATAAAATAATGAAAAATTGTTATATAAAAAGATTCAAATTATTTTGATGTTTTCTTTAATATTAATTAGTATTTTAATACTTTTAAAATACCGGGTGGGTCAAAAGTAAGGAAAAATAGTATTTTTTTCC